CTGATCGAGGGACAAGGTAGGCAAGGGTAAGGGCGGGCGGGGATGAAGTAGGAGTTTTGCACCCTACAGCTTCGGGCGCTCTCCTAATTATTAACACAGGTTTACTGATATCAATTTATTACAGAAATCTATGCTGAGATACCCCCTAACCATATTAAATGTATATTTATTACAAAATATAACTTCTCTCGTGAGATATTGCACATGTGCGTATACACTAACGTAGCCAGCTTGTGTACTGACTGCTATACGCGGCGGTGACCTTACATGCAAAGTCTTCTTCCTATTTCGTTTGAGGAGAAGTCTACTGATGGAGTTTTATCATATAAATCTATGCTAGAATACGTCCTCTTCATTTTAAATGCACATTTGTTGTAAAATATTTTTTGTCTTGGTAGATATTGCGCATGCGCGAGCACCGTTTCAGGCGTGCAGTGCGGACTAAATGAAACTGCATAATATAGCTTGTTGAGAGAGCGAGAGAGGTGGGAGACTAGGGAGAGGCAGCAGGCAAGATAGCTGGGGCGGTAGAAACAGAGTGAGTCTGGGCGAGGGACAAGGTAGGCAAGGGAAAGGATGGCAGGGGATGAAGTAGGAGTTTTGCACCCCAGAGCTAGGGCGCTCTCCCAATTATAAACACAGGTCTACTAATAACAATTTCTTACAGAAATCTATGCTGAGATACCCCCTAACCATATTAAATGTATATTCATCACAAAATATAACTCCTCTCGTGAGATATTGCACATGCGCGTAGACACTAACGTAGCCAGCTTGGGTACTGACTGGTATACGCGGCAGTGACCTTACATGCAAGGTCTTCTTCCTATTTCGTTTGAGAAATCTACTGATGGAGTTTTATCATACAAATCTATGCTAGAGTACCTCCTCTTCATTTTAAATGCATAGTTGTAAAATATTATTATTCTCGGTAGATTTTGCGCGTGCGCGAGCACCGCTTCAGGCGTGCAGTGCGGACTAAAGGAAACTGCATAATATAACTTGTTGAGAGAGCGAGAGAGGTGGGAGACTGAGGAGAGGCAGCAGGCAAGATAGCTGGGGAAAATTGAGGCTGAGCGAGGGACAAGGTAGGCAAGGCGAAGGATGACAGGGGATGAAGTAGGAGTTTTGCACCCTACAGCCTAGGGCGCTCTCCTAATTATTAACACAGGTTTACTGATAACCAATTATGCAGATAATCCTGGTAACTAACAATACACAGTCTGTTGTATATTTAGGCATTTGACAATACACTGTGTATTGTTAGCGAGCTTTCAACAATACACTGTGTATTGTTGAACACCTTCTAACAATACACTGTGTATTGTAGTAGGTACCCATGAGCTTTCAACAATACACTGTGTATTGTTGAACACCTTCTAACAATACACTGTGTATTGTAGTAGGTACATATGATACTTTCAGTCAAAAGAAAGCTATTTTTATTTGGCGCGCCACTTCGCCATTTTGTAAAATGCCAAGAAAGAAGAAGAGCGCAGATTGCGATGGTAAGTGCATGTTTGATGTGATTTCGCCACTGTTGCCATTTTGTCTATTATGTGTGATGAATTCAATAACTTTTATTGAAAGAGTAGACACAACTAACAAGGAGTAGAACGTATTTGTAGAGCTGAAATAAAAAATTAAGTTGTACGATGTGTGTTAGCGGTAAGATGTTTGAAATTCGATACGTTAGTGTATTTGTTCCAGATAAGTGCACGAGAAACCCCTGCCCGCAAAGCTAATAGATTTACTCGTGTGGAAAATATGCGATACACAAATTTAAATCGGTAAAGTTGGTTAGGGCATAGCTCTAGTACTATAGTCCGCGTACAGTGACTGCCGCACATACATACGCATACGCACGCGCGCACACACGCACACATACGCACGCGCGCACACACATACGCACGCGCGCGCACACATACGCACGCGCGCGCATACATACGCACGCGCGCGCACACATACGCACGCGCGCGCACACATACGCACGTGCGCACACACATACGCACGCGCGCGCACACATACGCAGGCGCGCGCACACATATCGCCAAGCAGGAACTGATCCCACTGAAACAATTACTGTAATTACATTTCGTATTAATATTATTTCTATTTAATCTAATTTTATTAATTTTAATTTAATTCCGTTTTTTTATTTTGTCTCCTTCCCTCGCTATATTTCCTTCGCTCATTCCCACCATCTGCAACCTCCACACGTACACTTTCTCCTGCTTGGCACTTCTTTAGTGACTTCTTATTGACTCAGCGTCTGTTATGCGTGAACGTTAATTAATAGCCGGTTACAACTCCATTGGCAATTACTCTATTAAAGGCTCAACCAACGTAGCATATTTTACCAAAGAAGACGCAGAAACCGCTAGACAAGATCTGTAGAGGTAGAAGTGAATGCAGAAAACTCTTAGAAAATAAATGAAGGATACGGCGCAAACTCTGAGCCCCCTGGCGGGAATGACATGTGTTCCCAACAGAGCTATATAGATTTTAAAAACGCTGTATGCAATCTCTGAATGACATTCCTCCACGCACGAACGAAACGTTGAACGTGGACTGCACAAAACTTCCATCTAAATCGCATCTAATTAAGCTTATTTATTAATCCTACGTAATAGTAATTTAATATACGTAATTATTCTCCCGCTTTCGATCATGTTCGTTCCGTGATATTCGAAGTACGTTGCGAAACCTTCGTTGAGCCAGATGTGAGCCCACCAGTCACATGTCACCAGGTTGCCAAACCACTGCAACGCAAGCACAATAACGTGATAATCCCTATACACAACACACACACACACACACACCACACACACACACACACACACACACCCACACACAACAGCCCACACACAGCGCTCCCCACACACCCAGATAACGTCTTATGTCCCCTTGACCTCCTGTTTGCACCTCGTCTCGTTTCAGCTATTTCTGACTAATATATATATATAATATAATATAATATAATATATACTAGGGTTATGGGTTAGGGTAGGGTTAGGATTAGGTTTAGGGTTAGGGTTAGTCAGAATAGCTAAACGAGCGCAGGTCAAACAGAGGTCAGGGGGACATTAGACCTACGACCCCACAGCACACAACACACACACACACAAGCACACCACACCCACACACACCACACACATCCCCCCCACACACACACACACACTACACTACACACACACAGCACATACACACACATCACACACACACACACACACAACGACACATACACACACACACACAACCACACACACACACACACACCACACACACGCACACACACACACGCACACACACACAGACACACACATTCCACACACACACAACACTACACACACACACACATACACACGCGACCACGCCACACACACGCTCACAGACACACACATACACACGACGCCACACACACACACATACACAACGCACAGTGCACACCACACACACGACACACAGAGCCACACGTACGCACACACACGACACACATTCACACCACGCGCGCCGCACAGGCACCATAACTACGCCACACGCGCGCACACACACGATCACATGCCACAACACAGCACACACAGACACAAACATACAACACGACACGCGCATCACGCACCCACACAACACACACACGCACGCACAACAGACACACACACATACACACGCACACACGCAGCACACGCGCGACACACACACACACACAACATATCACAACCACACACAGGAGGCACACACACATACCGACACCAACACACACTACACACGCACACACCACACACACACATCACACACACACACACACCACACACACGCACACACGCACACACAACACACACACACACACCACACACACATCACGACACACGCACATACACGACACAACACCACACACACACACACATCCACACACACACACACACACACACCCACACACAACCACACACACAGCACAGGCCACACACAAACACACACACACCACACATATATATATGATATATTATATACTATTAACCCGTCTCAAGACGGAGTACGTGTCCTGATTTGAAGGATGGCGGTTTATACGCATCTTATCGGTCTGACTTTTATTTCTTTTTATCTGCTAACTCTCCGTTGAGCCAGATGTGGCCCACCAGTCACATGTCACCGAGGTTGCCAAACCACTGCACGCAAGCACAATCAACGTGCTAATACCCTATACACCAAACCACAACACACAGCCACACACAACCCGACACTACACACACACACACACACACTCACACACCGACCCAACACACACACACACAACACACACACACACACCCACACATACAACGGAGATACACACACAAACGCAGCGACACACACAGACAGCACC